ATGGTCTTACATCGAATCGCACTTTCCAACTTGTAATCGTGTCTATTGATTTCATTACGTCAAAAGAAAATATGTTCGTTATAAACTAAAAAAATTTGCCGTTCATGCTCAACGATTAGAGGATAATAAATTTTGTAATAATAATAAGAAATGATCGGTATAATGATTTACGGTTTTATTTTCAAGCGAGTGGAAAAGTGGAAAGTATTATCGAATGTTGAGGAATTAGTATCTGACGATCAATTTTTATTTCTAAAGTTGAAAATGAAATCTGCCGGAATCGACAGTTCGTAACTACCGATCGTTCACTTATATTAAAGTTCACGGAGTGTATAATGGAATTTCAATTGCAAACTGTTGCAAAATTTAGTAAATTAATCAGAAGTGAATACGAGTCGAACTTCTCATCGTAATTTCAATTGATATCATCAGGGTCGAACTTTAGAAAAAACAATTTGTTAGTGAATTACGAGAAATTAAATTTTTCCCCATCAAATATAACGCACAAATAGAAGTATTTAGAAATAGAAGTAGTTAGAAATTTTAAATAAAGTATGATTTAAAGATGAACAAGATTGTTTCGTATCTTTTATTTTTAAAAATTGAAAGTGGTTTGAGTTAGTATTAGGAAAGAATAAATATACGGAAAGATTTAAATTAAAAATAAAATGGAAACATTTCTTCCATGTTCAAACATACTTCTCCAACATCTTTGTGATTTTTGATTTCCTGAAAATGTATAATACCCTCTTGGCGAGATGCTTTTCAGTAACAGTTAGTAATTATCGTTCGATACAGACCACTACATTGCTTTGCTTTTTCATTAAAGAAATCTTTGTCGACGATACAATTTGTGCTTATTATTCTCTTTCGCAAATGTAGGCGAATTTCTACTTTGGAAATTAATCGAGGTGAACGGCACGTTTATGAAAGAGTCGAAAATTGAAATTTTTAAAGTGGTGAACCATGTTCAAAGATATACTCTTGGAATTAATTAACAGTTACGGTTGAAGCGAATAATCCTTAAAGCGAAAAGTTCTGTTTCCAACGGTCAAAGCGAATACTCGATCGGACTTCGATTGATTAAAATGCTGTATAATATTTTCAACGACACGACGAATATCAATCTCACGATGTCACATTACAAAGGGGAAAACGTAGAAAGCCTAGCACGAGTCGACATGCATTACTCTACTCTATGGATACGAGACAATTACGGAATTTTCGTTGATCAAAGAGATTTAGAGGAAAGAGGGTGGAAAACTCTCTTCCTCTCTTTTCCCCTTCCCCAAGTTCCAACTTGGAGAAAACGCGATGAAAAGCGTATAAGTACGCGTGTTGCACACAGGATTTTCCATCGCAACAGACCGATCCGTCGCATGGTTACGTACGAAATCCCGGAAGGATGGTATTTGCGGCGAAGCCGAGGGAACGATGGCGATAATTGCTATAAAGGCGAAAAGAAGAAGAAGGAAAAATAATACTAAGGCATCTACATAAGGAAATATAGGACGTTTCTTTCGATGTGAACGTACGTTGATAGTCCAGGATGCCGACGTCGCTGCTGACGTTGACGGGATGCTGTCCTGTCTATCGGTTCACGGAAAACTGGAGAGAAAGGAAACCTCTTTTTCTCTCTGTTACGCGCTATCACTCTTTCTCTTTCTTTCTCTTTTCTTTTCTTCTTTCTCTTTTTCTCTTTCTACGAACCTCCGCACTTTCTCGCGGAAACTCTCCGCACTCCACTCTTTATTCCCTCTGTATCGCGCGCGCGAAGGAGTGTGAACACACACACACACTCTCTCTCTCTCTCTCTCTCTCTCTTCTCTCTCTCTCTCTC